CACCCACCCACCCATCTACCTATCTACCTATCTATCTATCTATCTATCTATCTATCTATCTATCTATATATCTATCTATCTATCTATCTTGTTTCGACGAACACACACTGGGCCGTTTACGTTGTACACGATATGACAGATCAATGAATCGTGATTCGACGCTATGACAACGTCTTTGATGAGAAAATTTCATTAATGAGAATATAAATCCTTTTTATGCTAAAAATAGTTGTTATCCTGATTGTCATTCCGACCCTTAGCCTGCCACTAGAAATGGAAAAAATATCGATACATTTCTAATCCCTTTAATGAAGCAAAACTAGTCATACATACAGTACCACCCAAACATAATGTCATAAAAGTCACACGAGCTTGTTCATGGGTGAATAAAGACAGCAAAAGGCCAAAAAAATGCCTTGTCTCTCTTGGACCCTCAGCATGCCAAGATAAGCACCACTAAAATACATTGTGCTTGAACTGTGTTAGATCTTTTTTTACTGTTTATACACACCAGATTTGTTTCATTTAAAGTGCTTTTGCAGAAATTGAGTATACCTTAAGGACAAAGACATGCATCTTGGGCTAATTTTCTTCAGCCACACTTTGTTCGCAAAACAGCGGCACGACAGACCACCATGTTAATCTGTATTGCGCACAGGTCTATATTTTTTCAAAGTTAATGGCAAAGTCAAATGTATGATCCTTAAATCGCTCTGAATAACCCATTCAGCAAGTCTTTTCTGATACACCGTTCCAGCACAAGAGACGTATCTGAAAGACTCATCTACTCTTAAAATCGTTAAGTACATACCTTACTTTTGAGTGAAGATTCCAAGGATAAAGTTGATCACAGTTAATAACAGAAGAAAGGAATTTACATAACGTCTTTATTTGACCCCAACAGGCAAAAACCAACAAAATCAAGATATAAAAAACTGACACCATAGACAATAATAAGGCAGAGCATTTGTCCGTATGACAGGAGGACAGGATCTGAGATCGAGATAAGATAAAGACCATACGAGATTCATGCCTGAGGTGAATATAACAATATTTACCCCCCCCCCCCCTTTCCACCTCCATTCCCCTGAATTTTCTTCAAAGTGTCACCAACAAACTTGACTGTTGCAGAAATGATGCTTTAAATTTAGTCGGTATACCCAGTTCAACCCTTTGCTAATTGTGCTCTGTTTCACCATTAGGTCAGACGATCTCAAATATTGTCCAAGCCTCTTCTGTCAGGACGCTTCCCATAATTCTACACATCCTGAACTTCCTATCAATCCTTTCTCCCAAAGCAATACTTTTGTTACTTTCAGAACTTTCAGGTCTTACTGCTTTCCAACGAGTACCGTCCAATTGGCCCTCACCAAATCCTGTTAGGTAATATGAAGATCTAGATTAAGTTCGCCATTCGCTCTTTCATTTGATCCAATCCCTGAACCCCAATTAATTGCAAACTTGATTAACGCAATGAGAATCTTGGGCAAAGCCGGAGTAGGGTGAGCATTATTCTGATGTCGGGGGAAAGGTGTGGGTGTGCAGGGTTACGTGAAGTCTCTGTCTTCCAAAGGCGTAATATTCTGTATGTATTCATGCACAAACCACGAACTCAACTATCAAGCTAAGCTTGTCGCATTTTTTGTCCACAGATCCCAATACACTATCAGAGGATACAGAATGGCCCACAGCGCTCTGATCGTACCTCTCGCGTCCATTTTAATGATCTCGGGTTTGCAGGGGTTCTTAGTGGACGATCAAGACGTTATCGACAACCTTAGAGTGGGATCCTTCAATGTGAAATGGTTCGACGTGGCCAAATCTGCTAATCAAGACGTCATGAGAATCCTCAGCCAGATCATCCAACGCTATGACGTAATGCTCATGATAGAAATCCGTGACGACCACCAGCAGACAGCCATGAATCGGCTCTGGACACTGGTCAATCAAACTGCTCCATTCGGACTTTCTCTCAGCGGATTCCTTGGGCGATACCCGGACTTCTACACAGAGCAGTACGGCTTCTTCTATCGCCTGAGCTCTGTGTCTTTGGAAGGAACGTATCAATACAACGACTCTCTGCACAACGAGTTCGAGAGGGAGCCGTACTCCGCCAGTTTCAGACGCCTTGCCCCAGGGTCTGTCGGTCTCCCTTTCATCGCTTCCCACATACAGCCCAAAAACGCTCGAGTCGAAATGGCTCACATGACAGAAGTTGTAGACGCTGTGAAAGCACATTTTTCCTCAGCCAACGTTGTAGTCATGGGAGATCTAAACGCTGACTGCAGTTACATGTCCGCAAGTGATCTTGCAACGACCCCTCTCCGGAACAGCACCGTCTTCACCTGGCTCATTCCCGACAGCGCCGATACGACCATGTCAACCTACACTGACTGTGCTTACGACCGCATCATCGTCACTAAAGGCCTTCGCTACAGCAACGCCGGTGTCTTTTATTTCGACCAGGCTTACAATCTAACCTATAACCAGGCTTCGGCTG